CTTCCTTCCTTCCTTCCTTCCTTCCTTCCTTCCTTCCTTCCTTCCTTTTCTCTTTTCTTTTCCTTCCTTCTTCTTTTCTTTTCCTTCCATCTTCTTTTCTTTTCCTGCCTTCTTCTTTTCTCTTTTTCCTTCCTTCCTTCCATGTTTCTCAACCTTGGCCACTTTAAGATAGGGGTGGACATCGACTCCAAGAATTCCCCAGCCAATTCTGGGAGTAGAAGTCCATCCATCTTAAAGAGGCCAAGATTTGAAAAACATGCCTTTATGAAATGTACCCAATGGGGGGAAAAATGTTCTACTCTATCGAACAGAGAAAGTTCTCAATGCTCGCTAAGGCCTCTTTTCAAAAAAAAGAAAAGCTGGTAATACAAAGTTTTGAAACCAGGGCTTTTTGGAGGTCGAAATACCTCCTGAAGCCCTTCCAAGATACTCATGCATGCAGTACCTCTCGGCTTTTACTCAGGGGCTAACAATAGCTTCCCGTTTTTCTTTCTCTCAGTTCCCACTTCCCTGTTCTTGGCATAGTTAAGCGGGCTCTGGGATTCGTTGCTAATGAATCAGACCGCCTGTCTTTCCCAGTGTTCTCCGAAAACACTTGATAATGAACTAAACGGCATTAAATGAAAAGGAAAAACCCAAGGCTAACAACAGCCCCTCTGCGTGTTTGTGTATGCTTGCATCTGGGGCAAGCAAAACCACCTGCTTGTTTTCATATATCAAAAATTTTAAAAAAAATATCTGCTTGCTTTTCTCGACATCTAAAAAAAAAACACAACTGGCAACTTAGCTGGTATATTCGTCGGCATCTTCGGGGACGTCACGATGTTTTATATTATATTTCTGATAATTCATATTTTTTTTAAATAATTCATTCCGTTTGGAAGTTTAGGGCCTGCCTTCCCCTGGATCGGTCCCTCCGAATGTTAAAGATAAGACGTCTGCTTCTTACGACTCACAGTCTACTTTTTATTTCTAAAAAAAGCAAAACTTTCCCTATCCCATCGCTTAAAGATCTTTGAAAGGTGGTTGACTCTCACCGACAGAGAAAGTAGAAACTTTCCGATTTTCCCTCAATTGCTCAAGCTGCAGATAATTGAAGAAGTATTATTTCTCCATTCCTGTTTTTAATTCCTTCTTCCTTTCCTTCCCTCCCCCTACCCCCCTCCTTTTTTTTCTTTTTTTTTTTACTGCCTTAGATAATCTTCCAGGCAGAAAAAAAACTGGATTTTCCACCCATAAGGGAGGAAAACAAAACAAAAACCCATAATCCACTTCTGGCTGATGTTTCATTTCCTGCAGAAAATGAAGTAATCTGACTGCAGGGAGGAGATTAAAAAAGATTGGGTCAGGTTTTAATCCTTTGCCGAGGGGGACGATGACGGAGGCTGGAGGCAGGTTTATAGGGAGCCGCAACTGGATGGAGCTGCAAATTCCACTCAGGAATATTGTCTCCACTGACAGCTACAAGTAAGTAAATGGCAACGGAAGAGGGTTGGGAAGACTTTAAGACCAACTTTGGTTAGCATGGAGAGGGAAGAATGTTCCCATCAAATCATTCCGCTTGAAGAAAAAGAAACCCACTATGATTTCTTTATCATTTTAAAATAACTAGATGTTTTTTGGTCTAATTAATACCAAACAAAACATCAGCATGGGGGATTTATGGAGAATATGTTACGGGGGTGATTGGGATTAAGGATGAAGGCTTTCTTTTTTTATATATATTAGCAGCGTTGGAGGCTTAGAAATGTAAAAAGAGATTTTTCCATTTTTGCTATGTTTCGTCTCGGGGACATTCTTGGGTTTGACACCTGTAACTTCTTCTGTTATTGATTTTTTTTTTAAATTAATGAAGTAGGACAACAACAACCCCCACCCACCCAAGTGTAATGAATTTGAATGAAATGAAAATTTAATTTTTAAGTGAAATATAATATTTAACTCTTCTGTAGATGTGGAACTGTTTTGCCAGTATAAAAAGATACGGAGGCATGATTAAAATGATTTTTCTTTCAAGAGATTAAATTATATCCACAAAAATATTAATAGAGAATTGGTTCGATCCTTTAATGTATTTCTTAATCAAGACCATATGGAGCATCTGTGGCTCCACTGTCCTGTTTTGACGAGACAAAACCATTTCCGAAATCAATAAACAACACATTTTATTTTATTTAGGCTGTGTATTTATCATGTTTAGAAAGTACCCATCCTTTTTGTACAGCAACTCTGAGAGGTGTATGAATAACTGTAAAAATATAAAAACCATAAATAATTATTATATTAAAACAGTTTAAAAATGAAAGTAAGATAATCAAAATTAAACATTTCTGAAGAGGGGATCAATCTATTTTCTAAAGCAACTGAATGGATGGAAACTAATCAAGGAAGAGGCAACCTAGAAGTAAGGAGAAATTTCCTAATAATGAGAACAGTGGAACAACTTGCCACCAGAAGTTGTAGGTGCTCCATCACTGGAGGTTTTTAAGAAGAGATTGGGCAGCCATTTGTCTGAACTGGTAGAGCGTCTCCTGCCTGAGCAGGGGGTTAGACTAGAAGACCTCTAAGGTCCCTTCTAACTCTGTGATTCTGCATCCTGAGGATGGAGTTTTCCCCCCACGCATGTTTAGGGTGCTTCCCTCTGCTGAAGCATAAGGCAAGGATTGTTAAAACACCAGTGTGGAAAAGTTAGAAAGAAAGAAAGTCTAGGGAGGTCAAAAAAGTCAAATCACAACCAGGCAGCCGAGGTTTTTCATCCTTATATTTTGGACACTCCCTGAGGCCTGGATGGTGGTTTTGTCTGTTGAATGAGGAACACGTGAAGATCTAATAATAATAATAATACCATTTTTATATATTATACAAGGTTGTTATATAATTGCTATTAGTAATTGGTATAGTATTTCTATTGGCCAATCAATTATTAGCCAAGTACTAATTGCTATTAGTCCATTACCAATAGGGTGTTTACACACCCATCTTTTGCAATTTTTCTGCTTTTTCCACTGCAACATTTCTCTTCCTTGCACACTGGCCTTCGGTTCATCCTGGAGAGCACCCCTCAAGGGAGCGATTCCAAGCTGGACACCCCCCTCTTCTTTGGGTTTTGGGGGAGGGCTACAAATCTTGTGATTCTGCAGCTCCAGGAGACGGTTATGGGGCACTGGAGTAAAGTGCTTTACTAAGGAACATTATTTGCCATACGTAGCATGCATACCAGGTGTGCGGCTTTCAGATCTGTGGACGTCCATTTCGGCTGCAAATTTTGGAAATCTAAAATGAAATTGCAGACATGGGTTGATCTGTGTAATCAGAGGAATATCTGAATCTGGGGTTTTATTCTGCCTGGCTATCATGCTATTGCGATTGTGATTGCGATTGCTATTCTACTCTACTCTCTATTCTGTTCTGTTCTAGTCTAGTTTAGCCTATACACTCTACTTCTATTCTGTTCTGTTCTCTTCTCTTCTCTTCTCTTCTCTTCTCTTCTCTTCTCTTCTCTTCTCTTCTCTTCTCTTCTATTCTACTCTACTCTACTCTACTCTACTCTACACTACACTACATTATACTATACTACTCTACTCTACTTTCTATTCTATTCTATTCTATTCTATTCTATTCTATTCTATTCTATTCTATTCTATTCTATTCTACATCATCATCATCATTATTATTATCTATTCCATCCTTATTTTCTTTTGCTTTATTATTTTATTGTATTTTATTTTTATTAAGCATTTTATTTTTTGCTCCAGCAGGAGGTGCAACCATGAAGCTAGTGTTGGCTGTTGCGGTCCTCCTGATAACTTTGTCTGCAGTGGTGGCAGGTAAGACCTGGGGAAGGAGAGGAAGCTTTCACTGGCGGGAGAAAACAGGCCCCTTCCCCTTCAATGTGATGGATTGCTAGAAGGAACTCTTGGAGGGAGGGAGGGAGGGAGGGAGGGAGGGAGAAGCAAGCAGGTAGATAGAGATAGACAGACAGATAATATAGATAGAGAGATAGACAGACAGATAATAGAGAGAGAGAAAGACAGGTAGATAGAGATAGATAATAAACAGATAGAGACAGACAGATAGGTAGATAGACAGACAGATAAGAGAGAGAGAGAGGCAAATGTTGCACAAATAAATAGCATACATGATGCAAAAATGTGTACACTCCAACCCCAAATATCCATTGCTCATTCTGAGTTCTGAGTTTATTGAACCTTGTGTCAATTTCTCAACACATAGCTGGATTCACACAACATGCCGGACTAAGCTAAACAGAATTGGGTGGTTTGCAGTTCAGTATTTTGTGAGAGATCAAGTATGGTCCCGATATGATTTGTGAACCAGATTATTACATTAAGCACGGCTTATTTGTTTGGATGTAAATAATGCTTGTTATATGAACTCAACATGAAGTGTGGGTTTAGCGTTGTGTATCAGCAAGTAACAAAGTTGCTGTTTCAATTTATTTATCCCAAGACTCCAATGAAGACGGTGGGAAAGAGCCCACCTTGGCCGAGAAATTTGAGAAGTTTCAAAAGGAGGTCCAGACTTTTGTTGATAACCTTGGTGAGAAGACCAAAGTTGCGCTCCGTGAATTCCACAACAGCGAATTCAGCAACAAAACCAGGTGACACATTCTTCCAACTATAACTATTAGGAGGGGAATAAGGTGTGGTGAGGGGCCTGGGTTCAGCCATCTTGGCTGAGAATTGAAAGAGAAGAAGAAGAAGGAAGAAAAGAAGAGAAGGAAAGAGGAGAAGGAGAGGGAAAGAGGAGGAGAAGGAGAAGGGGAAGAAGAAGGAGAAAGAGAAGGAAAAAGGAGAAGGAGAGGGAAAGAGAAGGAAAGAGGAGAAGGAGGAGGGAAAGAGGAGGAGAAGGGGAAGGGGAAGGGGAAGGGGAAGGGGAAGGGGAAGAAGAAGAAGAAGAAGAAGAAGAAGAAGAAGAAGAAGAAGAAGA